TGAGGCAAAAGTGACACCTTTGCGCTGAGGATGATGAGTCAGCTTGTCCAATTCCTCCTCCGTCAAGGACCAACCGAAGATGTCGAGGTTCTGCTTCATTCGATCCTTGTTGTAGCTCTTGGTTACCATGCTCACCCCTTGCTCGTACACCCATCTCAACGATATCTACATATGTAATTAATTAAAGATTAATTAATAATTAATCAAATCAAAGATACTATTTTCCTTTTATAATTAATTAAAGGGTAAGTAAGTAAAGTATCCAAAGGTACCTGAGCTGTTGTTTTGCCTTTGGCTTTGGCAATATCTTGGAGGACATCTGAGCCTAAAACTCTGTCGTCTCCCCATTTAGTCCCAGATGCACCCAAGGGAGAGAATGCTGTGACATGGATCCCCTTTGCCTTACAAAACTTCCTCATGTTTTTCAGCTGCCAGGCTGGATTCATCTCCACCTAAACACACACACTTCATAATTAATTGCCTCGTGTTTTAATTAATAGTAAATTGAGCTTAGACCCATGAAATTCATTTTAAATCACCTACAACCCTTCTCTTTATTTTTCTATTTAAAATACCCACTTTTTTCAATTAATACCCAATGACTATGATCCAACTAAGTAAGTTACCTAATATAACTTAAAATCTGATTTATTGAATTTTTTGGATTCCAAAACTACCCCTATTTATAAGTTAATGTGTTATGGAGGGTTGTAACTAATGACACACGTTAAATTTGGAAAGATTTTTTAAATGGTTGTAATGGATGTAGGAATTAATTTAGAAACTTATTTGAAAGTAAATATTAAAATTCAATATTAACATATTAGTAATCTATAGGTGATTAACGTTTTGGTTTATTTAATATAAAAAATATGTTGTTTTCCTTTTATGAATTATACGACTAATAATCTATTTTATTATAGTTTTTTGTTTTCCTTTTATGAATTATACTACTAGTAATCTATTTTATTATAGTTTTATGAATAATAGTGTACATTATAATTATGTTGAAAAATAATTTGATAATCTATTTATTGTTTGTTTTTTGAAAAACATTTTTTTTTTAAAATGAAACTATTTTTCTCTAAATAGCGTACCTATTTTT